GTCCGGGCTGGGGATTCGAACCCGCCACCTTAGGTGTACGTGGCTGGCGCCTTAGCCGGTTGAGCCATAGGCGCCGAGCCGTCTCAGAATTTATTTGGAAGTTTGGAAATGATACAAGGCACTTGCCAATCAATATGAGTAAAGTTTATTTAGAACTTACAGTAAAGGGGGGATTCCCAGGAACAGAAGGACTCATTCAGTGAATAAGAGCAAGTAGGAAAGGCTCTGTGCCTGTGGCTCACGTGGCTAAGGCACCAGCCACATACACCTAAGGTGGCGGGTTTGAATCTAGCCCGGTTCCTCCAAACAACAATGACGGCTGCAACCAAAAAATAGCCGGGCATTGTGGTGGGCACCTGTGGTCCCATCTACTTGGGAGGCTGAGGCAGGAGACTAGCTTGAGCCCAGGAGTTGGAAGTTGCTGTGAGCTGTAATGCCACGGCACTCTACCCCGGGGGACAGCTTGAGGCTCTGTCTCAAAAAAAAAAAAAAAACACGCAGGAGTGAGGATAAATAGAGAATTAGATTTTAATTGTGATTATAGATGAGAGATGGAATTATCTTTTTTGTTTTTTCGTTTGTTTCGAAGAGACTGTCTTGCTCTGTCACCCAACCTGGAGTACAGTGGGAGGATCATAGTTTCCTGTAGCCTTGAACTCCTGGGCTCAAGCAATCCTCTTGTTTCAGCCTCCTCAGTAACTGGGAGTACAGGGCATATCACCACACCTGGCTCATGTTTAAATTTTTGTTTTAGAGATGGTGTCTTGCTATGTTCCTCAGGCTGGTCTCCAACTCCTTGCCTTCAGGTATCCTCCTGCCTTAGCCTCTCACCTCCAGCTTCCTGCCTCAGTCTTAGTAGCTAGGAGATAGGCCACTGTGGCTAGCTGTCCTCTTTATTAGCTTATCTAAAAAAGATGTAGTAAATATGATGAAATGTTAATAATTGTTGAATCTAGGTGATAGATATGAGTGTTCATTATACTAAATCAGCTGTTCCGTATGTTTGAAAATTTTCACAATAGAAAATGTTTATAGAGGCGAAGTTAAGAAAGTTTTAGAATTATGTGATTATTTCTGTTTTAGCAACCAAAGGACACAATGAGATTAGATGAAACGATGCTGGTCAAACAGTTGCTGCCAGAAATCTGCCATTTTCTTCACACCTGTCGTGAAGGAAACCAACATGCAGCTGAACTTCGGAATTCTGCCTCTGGGGTTTTATTTTCCCTCAGTTGCAACAACTTTAATGCAGTCTTTAGTCGAATTTCTACCAGGTTAGTGTGTAAATCCACAGAGGACAATTGAAGTAAAATGAATTTTAGAAGTCTTTGTCTGCATAAAAATAAGTTAACCGAAATGAGTTTTTTCTGGGCTTTTGTAGAAATTTTCCATTCATTACTTTGAGATTTTAATTATGAAATGTCATATTAATGTGTGCAATTAAATGTGTGTATTGTTATAAGCTTGAAGTCTAAATTTTAGGGGAAAATATCTCCCATGACCAGGTTTTTTAAGATAAAAAGTATTAGGTATGAATTTTTGGTTTGGCTTTTTAAACATATTATTCCTTTAAATAAAATCAGATAATCAGGTTCAGTAATTGATAAGAATAGTTAGAATTGTAATGATCTCACAGCTTTATTCCTTATCACAAGATCTGAGGTACCAAAAAAACCTAACTTGTTTTTTTGTGCTTAGAAGCACAAGGAAATAATTACAGAAGTAGAATTCTCCAGAAAGAGGAGTGTGTTTTAATAAGTCTATGTAAAATATTCCTATTTATGGAGTATTTGCATCATATGCTCTGCTGTCTTGTCCTCACAGCACCTCTGGAAAGGTAGGTGATACTGTGCACATTTTACAGGTAAGCAAACTAATATTCAAAAAGTTAAGATGATGTGCTAAATAACAGGACCCCAAAATCTGAGGTTGGTCTCAGAATTTATATTAATTTCATTATACCAGGTTGCTTCCCTATTCTTCTATTTTAACTATATTTTGATGAAATCCTTTTTGTAAAATATACTTCTTTGTTTCAAAGATGTATTATAAATATAATTTAAACTTTTATTGATGATTCAGAGTCATTGTGAGTAGTAGTCGTAATATGCTACAGATGGAGAAATTGGTGCATATTATGTTCTATGGGATAGAATTATAAGAGTAGCAAGTAATTCTGAAACTTGCTTTTATGCAAATGATTTGCCTTATTCAAGTCAAATGTGTTCTTAACTGAATTATGACTAGGAAGTATAACAGAAGTCACTTAGTGAATCAAAGACTAGTACAGAATAGAGAAAAACAGTCCTCTTTGGTACTTACATCTTTGGCTTGTCAGTATTTCATTAATAGTGGACTTGCAGTTAGTTACAGTCACTCATTCTTCTGTTGTTTTCCAACAGATATGAATGAGAACATACATTACAATTTGAGAATTTGTGCTATGGTGTTTTGGGGAATTGACAGACTTCAAAGTCCTACAATTCTTTAAACAAAAATGACATTTCTATCTATAATTATATATATATTTTTTTCTTTTGAGATAGAGTCTCACTTTGTCACCCTCAGTAGAGTGCCCTGGTGTCATAGCTCTCAGCAACCTCAAACTCCTGGGCTCAAGTTATTCTCTTGCCTCAGCTTCCCAAGTAGTTGGGACTACAGGTGCCCGCCACAATGCCTGGCTATGTTTAGAGACAGGGTCTCACTCTGGCTCAGGCTGGTCTCAAACTCCTGAACTCAGGCAATTCACTTGCCTTGGCCTCCCAGAGTGCTAGGGTTACCACCATGCCTGGCTCTATCTAGAGTTATAAGGCTAGACAACAGTATTTTTCAACCTCAACAGAATTTCTGTCCTAAAGAAAATTAAATTTTTAATGATACATGATTATTATGATGATCTTAGATAATATTTGTATGATAGAACAATGTTGTCATTAAATCGTTTGAGTAATATTTCACATTCTGAGTGCTAATATACTGATTGAATCAGCAAAGTATCAAACACCTAGGGAATAGGAGGCTGGAAAATTATAAAAAGGAAAAATTATTTTCTGGCTAGGCACAATGTCTCATGCCTGTAATCCTAGCACTCTGGAAGACTGAGATGGGAGGATCCCTTGAGCTCAGGAGTTTGAGACCAGCTTGAGAAAGACTGAGATCTTGTCTCTACTAAAAGTAGAAAATTAGCCAGGTGTGATTGTGCCTGCAGTCCCAGCTCTACTCAGGATGCTGAGGCAGAAGAATCACTTAAATCCAGGAGTTCTGAGGTTGCTGCAAGCTAGGCCGAGGCCATGGCACTGGACAAGACTCTTGTCTCAACTGCCCCCTCGCCCCTGACACTCCCAAACCCTTTTCATTTAGGTGACTTCTAGACTAGCCTTACTGTTTGAAATCTTATCTTAAAGATAGAAAGTGATCAAAAAATAAAGTTTTTTTACTCTATTCCAAGGGTGAGTTGCTTTGTGTCACCCTTGAAAACTCTAGAAATATTCTATCCACCACAGGTTTTTTGGAATTTTTCAGATGTGTAAAAATGGACAACTTTTATTATTTCCTGAATCTAGTTCATTGTTTGTCACCAAAATATAAGTTAAGTGTCTAAAATTTTAAGAGTTTTCAGGAGACAGATTACTCGGAAATGGGATCTATGAAATAACATGTTTCAGACAAATGAATTTACCTTTTCATTTAGCTTATGCCAGAAATAGGAGCTGATCTTGTTAGAACAGTGGTTCTCAACCTGTGGGTCGCAACCCCTTTGTAAAAATGAAAATACATCCTGCATATCAGATATTTACATTACAATTCATAACAACAGCAAAATTACAGTTATGAAGTAGCAACGAAAATAATTTTATGGCTGGGGGTCACCACAACATGAGGAACTGTATTAAAGGGTCACGGCATTAGGAGGCATTAGGAAAATTGAGAACCACTCATTGTGTTAGAGGATCATTCATCTTAAAAGAGCATTATGATGTTTTAATTTACGTGGGGACATTTTTTTTTCTTTGTTTTTTTGAGACAGAATCTCACTATGTTACCCTGGGTAGAGTGCTGTGGGATCACAGCTCATGGCAACCTCAAACTCCTGGGCTTAAGTGATTCTCTTGCCTCAGCCTCCCAAGTAGCTGGGACTACATGTGCCCACCACAACACCCAGCTATTTTTTTGTTGAGTTGTCGCTGTTGTTTAGCAGGCCTGGGCCAGGTTCAAACCTGCCAGCCTTGGTGTATGTGGTCAGCGCCCTAACCACTGAGCAACAAGTGCAGAGCCTAGGTCGTGACATCTTATGACACTGCTGTTATATTATTAGGTGGCTTAAAAATACACTTAAATGGCCCGGCACCTGTGGCTCAAAGGAGTAGGGTGCCGGCTCCATATGCCGGAGGTGGCTGGTTCAAACCCAGCCCCAGCCAAAACTGCCCCCCACCCCCAAATATATATAATCACATATATATATATATATATATATAAAATATATATATCGTGTATATATATATACACACACACACATACACACACACACTTGAATGGCAGTTCTTTCTAAAGATGGATTTTATATTTCATATATAATAGATGAATCAGAAGCATGAAAATGTGGTGTTTGACCATTCTCCCTGTCAATACATTTTTTCTCCATTAAGTTTAAGATTTGTTTTTTGCATTTTTGACCTTCATTTTTCTTTAAGTGAAGATGAGTGATAGGTCTCAAAGTAGCTGAAACATACCATGTTCTATGGCTCATAGTACCCTTTTATGTACATTAGCTGGTTTCGCCACAAAATTTCTATACAGCTGCACTAGACCTAGTTTTGTGGTAGTAGGATACTTCAGAATACTGAATTTGATACACCATCAGAGGCAGCAGCCAAATGACTTTAAACTCATCGTGTTCTTTACAGTTTATTTTTATGTTTATATTTTTGGGGGCAAGACTGGCCTGACTTTATAATGTACTGTTTGGTTCCATACAAATCTGTTTTTTATCGTTTATTTTTTAAAATTGTTTTCAGTTTCTTTTTGTATACTTCTGATCACTTAAAACATTTTATATTCTCTTTAATATTTTAAAATTATGTTTGTGCCAACACTCATTTGTAAGGAATTATTGCCTTTTGTAATCTATGGTTGCAGGCTTATCTTTCGTGTGGGTTATATTTTCTTGGAGGATCTCTTGTAGTCTTGAGCTGTGGTAGTGTTCTAGTGATGGTTTTGCATTTGTGTTTGCCGCTTGCCCAGCTCTAGATCTATTATTTTTTTGGTCATATTCTCAGTCCCAGACTGTATGGGTAGTATAAATTTGGACCTTCAACTCTTCTAATGTAACAGTTCTGGTGACTTTTTTCATTTACTCAAAGCTTAGGCAGAGCAGGTAAACTTCTTTGTGTTGGTAGCTTTTCTTTTTCTTTTTTATTGTTTAGTAAGACATAGTTCTTAGTAGTTCATATTTTATGCAGAACCCAGGTTCTCATCTCTGCACTATTAAGGTACAGACTTTATTAAGGTCTCCCTGTGAATGTCAGCCCCCACGCTGCCATGTTAGGTTGAGGAGATCAAAAACCTCCCTCATCCTTTCTTTGCTGTAGGATCAGATCATGCATGTAAGTTCTCTGGTTTTCAGTTTCCACTTTATTTCTGAGTGGGTGGGTGGTGGTTTTACTGTATTTCTACTTACTTAAAATATCTTGCTGTTATTCGGTGTACTTGGTCTTTTTAGATGTTTTAGTGATAGGTTTTCCACACTTTGTATCTTTTGCTCCCATTGCCCCTATAGGGGTAGTGGACTACAAAAGAGACAACGTTTTTCTTCCATTTTTTACAAACATGTACAAGAGTCAGCTTTTCGTAAGTTGGTGTTGCTGATCTATTAAGTTACATTTTCTAAGGAGTCATACTCTGTATTTCTATGCTCTTTGCAGCATAGAAATTTGTAACACGTGAAGTTTTTTTTTTTTTGGCCTGGGCTGGGTTTGAACCTGCCACCTCTGGCATATGGGGTCAGCGCCCTACTCCTTTGAGCCACAGGCGCTGCCCAACACGTAAAGTTTTAACATGTAAATCATTATTGAGGACCACCTCATTTCCTGCTTTTACTGCTAAACTTTTGTCATCCTGACAACATGAAGGGTTTTAGGTAGGGTGTCCAGCCTTTCCCCCACTCTGACACACCTTGGGATAATGAGAGTTGTCTTGGGCCACACATTAAATACACAAACACTAATGAAAGCAGATGAGCAAAAACAAAGTTTGTGCATACTTTTTATGATATCCG